AAATTTGTTATTTTTTACCTAAATTATATGTTCACCTTTTTGTATTAATTGTACCATGCACTTAACAATTATGTTTTTATAATATGTTAATGAATTATTAATAATACAGTAGCCGGTAATTTGAGTTAGTATTATGAAATTACAAAAAAATAACTAAAACCCGCTATTCTTGGTTATATAATATGTAATTTCATCCAAATTTTAACATACAATAACACTATAAAAAAACGGTGTTTATGAATATTTTTAGATTTTTTTCGTTACAAAATTAACTAGCGGAAGGCGAGGAAAAAACTTACTATAGATTAAAACACACATCATTATAAAATCAATAAATTCATCGCTTCACTCAAAATCTGAAATTTTGAATAGTAATAATATATGAAGAAAATATATTGATTACACATATTTTGTGATAATAGGAATTTGAGTGTTAATTTATTAGAAATGGATTAATAGTTATCTATAGCAATAAACATATAGTCGTGGACAGTGGTGTACTCAGGATTTTTCAATGGAGGAAGGAGGCTTGAAAATTAGTTACAATTTTATTTTTATTTTGTCCAGTATAATGATTTCAGACGTTTATTTGAGGTATTATAAAATGTATGTAACCTCTCAACTTTTCTGGTAGAAAAATTTTCTAATCATAAGCTTCAATGCGTTTTTGGAAGCAAATTGGATTTAGTTTTTACTTTTAGGATGTCAAAATTGAAAATGCTCAGTGCATTTTAAAATAATTAGAGAAAAAAAATTATTAATATTGTTTGGTAACCACCTTGGTTATACTGTCCTCACTTGGATTGAATTTGATTAATTAAATTTTTTTTTCTAAATATGTAAATAAAAAAAAGGTGGGTAAGTGGATGTCGCTCTGCTGTACAGTAGGTTACAAGTGGGTCACTGTATAATGGATGCTATTAAATTTGAATTCAATGATATAATATCATTGTATAAGAAAAACGATTCTGAGCGAAGACGGTATGTCAGTCTAGGTTTAAGATAAATTATATACAAATCTATGGTATTAAAAAAAAATTGACCTATAATAAATTCCAAATTAATCATATATCACATTATCACAATATCCATTAGGTACTTATAACACGTTATACATCAACATCAATTACAAACCCTGATACTATCATAGATATAAAATAATACACTTTAGAAGTTTCAAGTAGGTACCCCGTACCCACGAATAATATTATATAATCACAACAAAATAACTAGGTTTTTTAATATGAAATTTCGTCCAAATTTGAACATAAAATGACTATAAAAATAAATTGTGATTGTATATTTTTTAGATTTTTCGGTAAGATAATTAACTACTTACGTGGAATCTTGTTTTAAATTTTCAATCCTTAGCTATAAAAACTGAACATTTTATAACTTATTAATTACGATGATTAATAAATTTCGAGATTTTGAAAAATTCTGTCAAAATTCGATGTTTAAATGCTTATAAAAAAAAATTGTGCCTATGTATTTTTAATATTTTTCAACTGATATTGTAACAATATATCAGGAGCCTTGTATTAAATTTTTACACTTTTTGGCCCAACAAATAAAACTTTATTGATATTTATAGAAAAAAAAAACTAAAAAAAATTGAAAGCTGTAAATGTCCATAAACAGCTCAAAAAGAGTCAAAATATTTTCAAAATTGTATGGTGTATAGAAAATGCTAATTTAAACATTCAGTGAAATTTTCATGTATCTACAATTGTTCGTTTTTGAATTGCAACAAAATAAAGAAATCGCTACATGAGTAATCAAGTGAATATCCAATGTTGTAAAAATTTGAATTTCAAACGCTCATAAAAATTTAATTTGACTTTCCGGTAGAGATTTTTTTATTGATAAAGGTAGACAATCTTATGAGTAATCTTGTATTAGATTTTAAAATCTTAGATTTAAAAAGAAAAATTTTTACGAATTCTTAACTCAAAATAATTTGCTAATTTTCGTGATTTTTCCATATTTTGTCAATTTTTGAACTTTAAATGCTTATAAAAAAAAATTGTGACTAAGGATTTTTAATATTTTTCATCTGCCTTTGAAACAATATATTAGGAGCCTTCTATTAAATTTTCAAGCTTTCGCAACCAACAAATAAAATTTTATTGATATTTCTAGAAAAAAAACTAAAAAAAAACTAAAAATGAAAATGTCCCTAAACTGTTCAAAATAAATCAAAATATTTTGAAAATGTTATCGTGTATAGAAGATGCAAATATAAACAACCAGTGAAAATTGCATGTATCTACGGTCATTTGTTTTAAAGTTACACCAAAAACCAGAATCGATTTTTGGAAAACCGATTTTGAGTAAAAATTCCCGTTTTTCCTTAATTTTTATGTTGTTTTTCCCGGCGCTCTTGAAAACTACTGGGAAATTTAAATTTTGACCTCCCCAATGCACCAACGATATTCACTTTCCAATCGAACAAGATACTGAAGTCGAAAATCGAAGCATTATTTCGACTACTTATCGTGTACACAGACACAAAAAAAATAAATCTGTAGCTTGGGTCTAAAAGGGCCAATCTCACTTTTTGGCGAAAATGAGTTATATGGCCAATCTCATAAAACTTAATACGCTTTTTCTAGTGGTAAAAGGGCGTATCTCGTTAATCATTAGTGCAAGATATGAGAGGGCCAATGTCATGAAAATTACAAAATCTATGGGGCCAATGTGAACATTGGCCCCATGAAAATGACAACAATGGCCCTATAAAAAAAAAAATCATGACATTGGCCCTTATAGTGATCACTATAAGGGCCAAAGTCATGATTTTTTTTTTTTTTGTAGGGCCAATGTCAATAGAAAACCTTCTATATTTCACTAAAAAATTCACACCATACTCTAAAATGTAGGGTAAACTATATTTACATCCGTCACAAAAACAAAAACATGAACAATAAAAAAAAAAAATTGCTATGAATTTTCAAAAAAAAAAGGAGGCTTTATTCTTGATTACTACAAAGTGACTAAAATCGAGATTGGCCCTTTTCGACCCAAGCCACAGAAATATAAAAACACACATCATTGTAAAATCAATACATTCATCGTTTCACTCAGAATCTAAAATAAATAAACACACATCATTGTAAAATCAATACATTCATCGTTCCACTCAGAATCTAAAAATTATTTATCCGGTCAAAAATCTTAAAAATGTAATACGTAAGTTTTTATTATACCTAAAATAGTAACAATACATAGGCATCATTGGTTATTTCTTTTAAGCATTTAAAATTAAAATTTCGTCAAAACCACAATCAATTTGTACCTAGTTCAAAGCTTATAAAATATTAAAAGTTTATAGCTAAGGCTAGACAATTTATTACACGGTCTTTCGTACAAGTAGCTTATGTTTTTACCGAAAAACTACAGATAATTTTAAGAAAATTGGTATGCAAATACAATGTTTTTTCAAAAATGAATTCATTTTGGTAAGACTTATATGAAATTTACGTATTTCTGTTATTACTTATTATAGTTGACAGTTGAAACTTGATAAATAAATTTTTTGTATAGTAATAATAATACGAGTGATGGGGGAGGGGGCTTCAGCCCGTTATCCCCCCCTGCGTACGCCAATGGTCATGGACATCAATAATTTATTTTCTTTCTTGACTCAATGTTCTGAAAACCTTATAATATACGGTTTTGCTTCTCGTGCGGAACTACCCACTTTCCAATACTTAAGTGGAACCTTTTTTAAAAAATTTAAATCTTTAGCTATTGTAAAACAGGGTGAATAGAAACACTTTTTAACTTTGAAGTATCATACAAACTTTTCTATTTGTACTTTATAGAAGATCAATACATCAAAATTCTGGTCTTTTTAAGTACCTACTTTAACTTATGTTCAGTCAAAATATTTGTATTATTAACAGATTATTTTATATAATTAGAAATAGAACCATGTATATTATTTACATGTATATTTTTATTCAACGAACCAAGAGGTGAATAGAAACAAAATTTGATAAAAATTCACTTTTTTATTATTAATGTTTGGCCATCATGAAGGAACAATAAAATAATGATCCTTGATTATTTGAAAACCACACTATAGTTGACAATCGATTATGTGAATTAAATACATTGATATATTCAAAACTCGATTGTGGGGACTTTGAGAAAAACACTGATTTTGTTTCTATCTACCCCACAGTTTCTATTAACCCGGTTTTACGTATGAAAGTTGAACATTTTACAAATTTTTAACTACAAAATCATTTCTAAATGTTCAATTTGATATATGTTGTCATAAATCAATAGTTAAATGATTACAAAAATATATTGTGCCTATTTTTTTTAATGTTTTTCTACTGATGTATCAATACAATATAATGTATCAAGAGCCTTGCAATTTTAAATCAAAAAAAGGCAAAAGTACAATCCTTAGTCTTCCTAACTATTAATGGCCTGTTTATAGTTACGCACTCATGCATGCCAATAAATAGGGTACAGAGTTTTGCGTTTAAACATAAAATGTACCAAAATTCTTAGTTTACATAATATGTTTATACCTATAATTTATTATTATAGGTAAATGCACATTTAATTTTAAAGAAATAACAATCTTACATTTTTTTATTGCTGCCGTGAGTCAAATTGTTTGAAGTGCCTCTACCTATTGATAAACATAGATTAGAATAGAAGCAGGTTTTTAGAAAACAAAATATTAGTAACTAATATTTAGTTTTCTTATTACCTGCTGATTGGGCTTGAACGACAACAATTATAGCCCATGTTACAGCTATATTGCCTGTGTTTAAAACAAGCCTATAAATGCCAGCTTCTGTTATGTGTAACAGTCATCGGCAATAGATAATAATATTAATTGTAATAATAAGTATTAACAGTTATAATATGATAATAGATATATATATATATATATATTTTTTTTTTGTAGGTATTATCTTTTTTCTATATTATAGAAACTAATTTTTTTATACGTTGTTTTATGTTTAAGCATTAAAATGTCAAAAATAAACCTTCAAAAGCTGATTGCCGTTTTGAAAGAAAACGGATGTACTCCCTGTCAGTGGAATAATGTAAAATGTGGTGATGATATCGTCATTGAGTCTTGCAAAGCATGTTTTGATCAGAATACATGTTTGAAAAATCGAAAAATGATTAGACGAGTAAGTCGACAACATGTAGTAATGAGTGACTTAGTATTATACTGTATTCAAATTTTAAATGTAAAAAAACATAATTGCAATATTGCATATCAAATTTGCATGCTTCACTGTTGAGTTTCTACTTTCTTAGCAAGGAGGGGCAGCTGGGTTTAGTAGGAACAAATTACAATATTATTTGTTTATATTATAGTGTATAAGTCATGTCGTAAGTTGTTACGTTCATTATTATATTGTACTAAATGGTATTTCGCAATATACGACGGTCGCGTGGACTTTATTATAATATCATATAGTGTTACGCATAATATCAAGTATAAACTATGTATTGCCGGGAGCCCGGGAAAGTCCTCGCCGTATCTTGTCTAATTTTATATTTTTAATTTTTATAATATTATGTCTATGGCAAGAACTGGTTTACAACTGTCGAGTAATGACATTCAACAGAATACCCCCATATCAGATTAGGTTATAATTTATAATATTATGTACTTATTTAGTATTAAGTATTAGGTTTGCATCGATTATAATTTATAAATACTATAATGCTAATTGCTGCCCCATTTTTGTTCTAGTATTTGGACATAGGTACTGCTTATTTGCTTCTTATCTTAATGAAATCATGGACATACCGCCTTTCTTGTTATGTTCTTATCAGTTTATATGGATTTCTAATAAGAAAAACCTTAAATTTTATTACGGGAATCGATAGAGAATTAAAATATCTATCGATAGACACCAAAAACTCGATTTTGACAAAAATGGAGTTACTGCTTAGTGGCTTATGACGGCAGAATATAAGAAAAACAATTTACATTTTCCTTAGTAAACAAACAACTTTTTATGTACACACAGAATGAAAAATATTTGAATATAAGTGCAAAGAAATAATTTAAGAGCATAAGATGTGATTATTATTTATGTTTATTTAGTTATTATTGTTAAAATATTTTTTTCTGAAATTCAATCTTCGTCGTCAACATGTTCCTCTTTATACTTCAATAAAAATGCAGCTAGAAAACCCAATTGATCAGGAGGTCTGAAAGTTTGAAGAGTAACAATTAGAAACAGTTAATTACACTGATATACATATTATTTAGTACTTAGGCAGGGGCGGACCCAGGGGGGTTTGGGAGGTCAGCTGACCCACAGTTTTTTTCCCTGTTAAATGTGGCCCCTTGAAATGGCAAACTATACTAACATTTTTTTTTTTGAAAAAATTATGTACAGTGGTACAGTGACGGATTGGGGCACATGCCCCCGTGTCAATTTTCTGTCAACAATTTGTTATGTAACTACGAGTATCATATAAATGAAAAATTCAGTCAATAAGAATAATACTTCCAACTATTAATTTTATTATTATTTATTATAATCATTATTGTTTAAAAATGATAGTTTGTATGTACTATTAATTAAAATTAAAATTATACAATTTATATGTGCCCCCTTCCATTTTATGAAGTAGACATAGATGAAATTGATATAGAAGAGGAATACCGTTCATTATATCTAGTTTACCAACAAGTGTATGACAAAACTATTGAAACTGGAGTAACTGGAACTTTAAAATGAAATCAGTCATTGAAAACTAAAATAAAATAAATATACTGCAAATATATGTATAAAAATAAAATAATAAATATATCCCTTCTAATGATTTAAATATGTCAGGTAAATTTTTTAATTGACTATAAATTTTAATGCAACTAATAAAAATAACAATTTATTAAATATAGCTTTAAGACTAAAGCTTGTAAGTAGATTTTACAATTTGCTAAAAAATATGTTATGACTCATGTAATATAGTTATATTGAATGTTGATATCAAAATGTGATGTAAATAACTAATAAGGTAAAATATCACGAGCGCATTGGGCGACTTTGTAATACCTAGTTGGTTGAAGTTTCTACACAGTGGTCTCTCGTAAGTAAGGCATACCCACAGTTCTAAAATCCTGGGTACGCCACTGTACTTAGGTATCCCATTACTGAATTATCAGAGTTAACGTAACCGTTTGGCAATTTAATAAACATTTTAATATATTGTACATCAAAAAAAAATAGTATGGTATTGGTGTACCATATTCGGTTAAGAAACATACTCGGTGGTGGTTAAGCAACACCTGTCCGATGCCCCCAACGAGGCTACCGTCAGTATTCTGTATGTCTACTGTGTTCACTACACACTAGTTGGTCACTAAGTTTGTTTGTTAATTTTAATAGAAATTCAAATAAATATAAAATATTTTTCTAATTATATACTAAAAATTGAGCAAACAAAATATGTTCTAACATCAAATTTTCCAGAATAAATTCTATGCATTTATTATAATTAAACTGATGGGTACCTATACAACTTAATAATTCAGAATAACAAGTTCAAGTACTTTTTGTTTATCACAACAACAAATGTAATAAAATATGTACCTAAATTAGGTACTGGATATTATAGGGAATTAAAACTAATAAATACTATAAAAACATTAATATTAATGTACCTAAGCGAATCAAAATATCTATATGTGCTAATATTGTATTTTATAAATAATAGTCAAATATTGATTACCTTTCCTTTTCTAACTCCTTCAAGCCTTTTCTCAATGCCGGTACAACAGTTTGCGCAAAATATTCGCGCATGGCTGCAGCGCGCTCGGGATTTTTCAGCCTTTTGGAAGAACTCTTGGAGGAAGTTACCTCCTTTAATAAAAAAAATGAACAAAAGATAGATATTAAGAGGACGTTGTACCAATATATTATGTTGTCTTCATCTTACTATTCTACAACCACAGACGTTGCCCATTTGCCCGTTAGTCGTTTCTATTAACAAAATAACGGAAAACAAATTATGTCAATAAATTTACTACAACAATTAATGTTAATGGTTGAAATTAATAGTGAAAAAAATATGCTCATAAGAAGTTGACATAACTAAAATACCTACTTGTAAATCTATACAATTAAAGACGATACCTACCTATATCGGTTCACTTCAATAACTGTCGGCAATATTTGTTTAGCTTGTACACATTATTATTGATAATAACAACGCAACGTTGCCACTCATCACTCACTCGTATAAGTTATATGGCATAAGCAGCTGGCTCTTATCGACTAAAAATACTGATAAGAAGTAAAATTATTTTATTGACATGAGTAAGTTATCGATACGTATTTATTATTTATACTTTATAGCACGTATTAAAAATTGTATGGCTCATGACATGTGCTATGTTTTATGTAATTTAACTGCGCAGTAGGTAAGTTTATAATTATACAAAAATATTTAGTCGTAATCGTAAACACGAGTTAAGATATAATATAATATTATATTATATCGTATCCAATAAAGACGTATTATAATATGAAAACATGGAAACAGAAAAATTGACTGCTTTTATTAAAAATTTAAAAATCTCCTAAGAGAATGAATATTGAACACAATTATAATATAATAGGTATAATAAAGTATAAGATATCAGATAAAAGACATAGACTTATAATGAATTTAATGTAAAAAATCTTAATTTTAACTATAACTTATCGGTTCTAGTTGATGTATATTAACATAAAAATGTAATTCTTACATTAGATCATGAGCACAACACTAGATGTAAGCAAAATATTAATATACTTGTACCAAATCTTAATAAAGTATTAGGTCAAAGAAGTATCTTATATACGGGTTTATATTTATGTCGTTCACTAAGTATCAATATAAAAAATTATAAATATGTTAAACATTTCAAAACATAAATAAAACAATTAAATTTATCAAATTTGTAAATTTTATTTCTTTTAAAAGTATTACAGTTATTTATGTAAAATATTATTATTATTATTATTGTAAATTTATAATATTTATTCTCCTCTCTTCGTACTTATGTTTTAATTATAAAGTAAAGACCATTATATGTATAAAATAGGTACAGAATAGGTTAAAAATCCAATTTGTTCGGGCTCGATGACGGAAGTAATCGAAATCTCGCTTTCAATTCAGTGTTCCACTTCTCTCGTCGTATGTGCACACAATTAAAAATGGCTACAACCAACCCGCAAATTTGTTTCAACAACGAAGAGTTAATAAACGAATTGATACAAAATGTATTGGGCGACTTCATCGACGCAAGCGTAATGGAGACGTCAGACGTCATCATCGACGCGATTGAGACCCCCGCTGATAACGATCTCCAGGATACCGAAATCGACGACGTCGTCGAAGAAGTGGTTAGATCAATGATGTTGGTTATTTGCGATGATGCGTCGTCCGGCGGAGACGCATCGTTGACAGAGTTGCAGTCTGTCGAATCCACTGCAACATCTGAAGGCGGACCTCTGGGCGACGCGGTGCAGGACGTTAATGAAGAGCGAACTCCGGCTAAGGGAGCCGAAGTGTTCAATAGATTCGGTGAACTAGTAGGTTGGCTAGATCAGGGAGCAACACCCGTGCAAAGCGCTCCACGACGGCTGAACCCGTTTTCGGTGACGTGGAAATGCGTCAAACGGGTTGTACGTGGAATCTGTTGCTGCCGAGGTGAAGGCGTCGACTAATCAAGAAGTTGATACGGCCCTTGGCCGAAGACATCGGACAGGAGACGGCGACGTAAAGGATCGGGGGATACGGGAAAGAGCACGGATGGTGCCCGGCGGTAAGTCACCCATAAACGTTCTCCGGCCACCCACGGCGAGACGGGTTCATCATGGGCGTAGAGAGCTCGGTCGCCAATGACGCGCGAGACCCTCTGGCGGCTCGGCGGGCGCCCGACTTCGGTTCGGTCGTGTGGAGCGACGGATGACGACGACGACGTGACGGCTAGCAGTACGGACGTGGGCAACGATTTCGCTCCGGCCGTACCAACGTTAATGGTTATGCGACGGAAGCGGTGGAGACTTTGGCAAGGGGCAAGTGGTAGAGGTATGTGCAGGAACAAGGACGTCAGTGGCACCAGACCCGTGGAAATTTAACCGTTTCAGGGTCTGGTGGCACGCGACTCTAGTGCGGCTGTCATTGGACTATCAGTTATAATATGATAATAGATATAAATTATTATAATACGAGCAATAATAAATATAGGTATTTAATGGATTAAACATTTAACACAATTTAAACTGGTAGT